GGTCAGAGGTGGTGCACCAGTCTGGAACAGCCTTAAAGAAACTCAGCTCACTTTGGGGGAGACCGGATACTCAGACTCCAAACCAAACCAGGCCTCCAAGGTGATCCCAGCATGGTCCAGCCCCAGAAGCGAGCCGGGCTCCTAGTCACCATTCCCCTCCCCTGAGGCATGTGAGCTCCACCTGTCTGGACAGGTCCCCTTTGTGGTCACCCCCAATGTCTCTTGGGCAGAGGAGGGGAACAGTGGGGACAAGGAAAAGCTTGCCTCTTGGCAGCATTTCTGAGGGGATGCCCCATTCACCATTCTCAGCTCCCCAGATTATACCAGTTATATACTAAAATCTTAATTTAGCCAAGAAAACAAGATTAGGATAAACTGTAAGAATAGTGAAACTCAATATGGAAGTTTTTTCCATCTTTAATCCACTCTTGGCTTCCTGCAAGGATTTTTCTCCTACTGTCAACAGTTTAACAAGTGACATAATTAGGCAAATGATGCCACGGCCTCTATGAAATGTAAAGGCACCACATTATGGACCAAGTACCTTGCTCCATTTTCCTTTCAGACTCATCTCCACACCATCATTTTCCTCTACCGTTAGTCGAAACTCTGAATAATAATTTGCAAATATAATTTTATTTTATTATTGTTATGGCAAGAACTCGGGGTAGAGTGGGTTTGGTTCTATCACAGCTTTATTAGAAGGACTGGCTATCCCAAAATTAGGGTGTATGGAGGCAAATGGAGGGTAAAGACATTCTATACATACTGAGTTGTGAACGAAATGAGTTATTCCTTATTGTACAGAAAATATATTGTTTATTTGTTGTTTTTTTTTTTCTTTCCAGCTTTCTTGTTTTAGAAACAACTATTACCTGCATGACTATGGGAAAAATTAAGACAGGTAGAGATAGTGAGAATATATAACCAATGTTATTGAACTGTTTATGTAGACATTGTGAATGGATATACGTTTGGTTATGAATTTTACCACTAAAAAGAAATCTTTTTAAAAATCAAGGTTACATAGCTGAATATAAAATATTCAGGAAAAAATAAAAAACCCTGAAACTTTCAATTTGCTGTTTGTTTCCAAATATCCAAACTAATGCCGTATCACTGTGATTGTAAAATAGAATTTGATACGAGGTAAATCTGCCTTGACTATTAGTCCAGGGTTTTAAATTACTAAAATTATAGAAAATACAAAAAAAGACAATTCTGTACTTAGGTCGATATATATATTAAATTAATGGTACATCTAAAGATCTCAAGGCTTTATAACCATTCTGTACCTAATGTCACTATTTTACACAGGCATTCAGTAAAAATTCCATCAATCCCTCCTCCACTGGTGAAGGCTTACGTTTCTGGGTTCAGGTTAATGGACCTGCAGTACTCAGAACCGGCAGCCTCAGGTTTCCTTGTTCACTTTGTTCTACTCTCACTGTTCAGAGCAGACGTTAAAATTGCATTCTCCGTCACACATTAGCAACATCAGATTACTAAATATAAACTTATGTATTATTTCTTCAAATATTTGGGAATAGTTTTCAGTTTCTCTTGATACAAGATTACTACTTTCATGAAGTTAATACCATGAACCATAAGATCCCTGTTCGTACTGAAGCCTAACGCATAGATGTTGTTGTTGTTAGGGGCCGCCGAGTCGGTTCCAACTCATAGCGACCCTACGTCCAACAGAATGAAACACTGCCTGGTCCTGAGCCATCCTCACAGTCATTGCTATGCTCGAGCCCACCGTTGCAGTCTAATCCAATTAAGAATAACCTCAGCCCCGGAAGGCCAGTTTCTAATAATATCCCATAATATTATATATAATTTGCTTTCAGAGAAATGGAAGTTCCAAGTGGCTTTTCTAATCAAATCAATGAGATCATGAGATTTAGAGTAAAAAACTAAGGCTTCACATTTCCAGTCCAGTTTTTTAAGACACAAAACTGTCTTCCAGAGAATCTGAAATATTTTTTATTTGAAAAAAAGAATTTCACTGTAGTAAAGTTATTCTTATTACTAAGGCTCCTATTTATATAAGTATTTACGTAAGCACACCCAAACTACAGAACTTAAAATCAGAGTAGTGTACAAAAAGTTACACATAGAATTGCCATATGACCCAGCAATTCCACTCCTAGATATATACTCAAAAAACTTGAAAGCAGGGACTCAAACAGATACATGTATATCAACGTTCATTGCGGCACTATTCACCATAGCCAAAGGGTGGTAAAAGTCCTAGTGTTCATCAACAGACAAATGGATACACAAAATGTGATCCATCCATACAACAGACTATTATTCAGCCATAGAGAGAAAGGAAGCCCTGATCCATGCTACAATATGGATGAACCTTGAACACACGACGCCGAGTGAAATGAGTCAGAGATAAAAAGAGAAATAGTGTATGATTCCACTTGTATGAAATATTCAGAAGAGGCAAATCCATAGAGATAGAAAGTAGATGAGAGGTTACCAGAGGTTGGGGGAATGAGCAGTTCTTGCTTAACGGGGACAGAGTTTCTGTCTGGGGTGAGGAAAGAGTTTGGAAGTAGATAATGGTGCTGGTTTCACATCATGGTGAATGTCATTGACGCCACTGAATTGTACACTTAAACACAGTTAAAATGGCTAGTTTTATGTGGTATATATTTCACCACAATAAAACTTAAATAACAGTGGCCCAGAGGCGAAGTGGAGGAGCTACCAGGCCTGTGACAGTGGCTCTGTCAAGCTCAGGGCCCCTTCTCAAGGACTCATGGCACTGATTCCACAGCACTTTGGGTGGGGCCCCACTCTCCAGCAGTAACCTGTCAACATATGGGCTGCCCTCCTCAGCACCAGCTTCACAGCCCAGAGCTCAGAGAGGCCACTGGCTCTGCTTCCTGGGTACTAGGGACACCGTCAAAGCTTATTCCTAAGCACTGTAATCACTGGATTTTTGTTATACTCACTTGAATAATGTCTGGCCTCCACAAAGTCACTTTACGTACAAGCCTATCCTTATACCATCCACTGAAAAAAACTGCTTACTCTATAAACTGACTGTATCAGTAAGATAAAGTGTTTGGCTTCTTAAAAAAAAAAAAATCATTTTCCAAAATAAACTGCCAGAATAACAGAAGTCTCACCGAGGCTAGTGATTTGATATATTAATTACAAATCTCACCCATCTACTTGTTAAAGCAGGAATTCTACTAGTCAATCACTGGATGGCCTAGTTTCAGTTAGTAAATGCATCTGAAAGTGATAATGGTCTTACAAATTCTATAATTCATACTTTTCATTAAGTTGGACAGGCCTGACCTAATTAGTCCACATACATAAAGTTGTATCATTTCCCTGTACACACATGATCTGGTCTATTAATCTACCAAACGGCAAGGGTCCCCACTAGTCAGTATTCCTGATAGCTGCAGGTGTGCCCTGGGGGCTGCTCATTCTGAACCCGGGTTACTAGGTACTCAGAACTGGTCAGGCTCAGGGGACTGACTCACTGTCAGCCAAACCCACAAGAGGCTGATTTAAAAACCAGAACACCAGCTTATTAATTTACAATGGGAGCTGGGCCTGGCTTAGGGACTGGGGCAGGGTGTTCTAACGTAGGGTACGGCCCCCACAGGGGCAGGTCCACCCCAGGGAACGAATTAAAGATCAGAAGGCTGCTTGGTTAGCAAAGAATTAAAGCGAAGGGAACCAGATTTCCTCAAGAGAAGCTTCTGTGGAGCTCTGGAAGCCTCATTAGGTCCACACACCACTGCACGGCCTTGGCTTCCTCCTGTTCTGGAGGACCAGGGCAGTGCTGCGTCAACACACTGGCACATCCTGTTTTCATTTCCTCCTTTAAGACTAGGCGTACCCACCACTCCTTGATTACAGCCTATTTCCAGACAGGTCGCACTGTCTTCAGGCTCTTTCCAGTTGGAAGTGGTACCCTGGTCAATCCAGCTCCTACGTGACATGCGTAGACGGAAAAACTCAGCCATAATCTGTTGACTTTGACCATCTCACACTGACCTCATTCCCACCTTCCAGGGGTACCTGGCCTGGGAAAAGTGTGCAAAGCTGTAGAACAGTATAATTAGCTTGAGCTTCTGGGTGAACGATGACCTGGCCTGCCTCAGCCAAGAATGGCTGCAATGGGCAGGATGCAACTAGGCAAGCAAAACCATATTGGGGCAAAGAAGTCACAGAGGCTAAAACCACTTATATGCACAAAACTGCACAACATCTGCACAGCAGCAAGAGTCTCTTGCTAACATGTTACGGTATGTGATGTGTGAACAGAGTTCCGTCCATGGGGGTGGGCCTTTTAAATACATCTCAAAATACTCATGTACCACATTTTTAAGTTAGGGCTTTAGAATTCCTAGATCCCAAAGAGATGCACTGTTAAATATCCTACATCATTTTGTGCTCATGATCCTACAGCAGGCAAGTGGGTGTGTTAACCCCATTTGGCAGGACAGTAAACTAGAGCTTAGAACCGCTAAGCTGCCTGGCCATGGGGGACAGAGCCAGATCACAGTGCTGTTTCCCATGTACTCTGAGTGTGACATTTTGAGGACTGGGGCAGTGGGGAAAAAAGGGATGTGGGGAGAAAACCCTTGGGTTAACATAACATTAAATACAAGCCTGTCAAGCAGAACAATGCCTCAGCCCCCTAAAGGAGCCAAACTTCCTGAGGGCTCAGTTCTGGGTTAACCCTTGTCTACTGTCCACCTCCCAGGTGCTGCCCAGCCTGTCCATGAAGAGCGGTCCCCTGGGCTCCACTCTGGTGACAGAGAAGAGCAGAATCTGAGGTCCAGAAAGCCAGCTGATGCAGCTGGTGTGTGGGGACAGTAGCCCCAGAAGTATGGGGATTAAGCAGTTAGAACAAGGCTTACCCTGGTTGATGAGTACCCAAATAACAACTCACAGATTTGCTTTCCGTTCTTCTGGCACAAAGGGAATAGGGTTGGAGAAGCTCCTTAGGTGCTAACCTGTGGTTGGTGCCAAGCCCTCGGCAGGCTTCTCCGTCAATCCAAGGTATTCGCTAATGAGCTGACTCAGCTTCTGGTAGGCAGCTTCCAGATCATCTACAGTAAATGAGAGGATGTACTTATAAAGCAACAGAATCAGATCAAAATACGACCAGTTTTCAATAGTTGGTGGCAGTGATTTTCTAACTACTTTTAATTTTATGAATATTGTGATAGGCAGAATTGTAAAATGACCCCAGATGGCCCTCTCCCTGTATAACCTTCTCCCCTTGAGGGCGGGTAGAATCCAAGAATGTGATGAGACATCACTCCTGTGATTGTGTTACATTATATGGCAAAAGGGGTTTTTGTAGATGTAATTAAGGTTGCTAATCAGTTGACTTTGGGTTAATCAAAAAGGAGATTATCCAGATGGGCCTAACCTAATCTCATGAGCCCTTTGAAAACAGAGTTTTCTCTGGGCTGGTGTGATCGGAAGCACGAAGGGATTCACTGTGCCATTGCTGGCTTAGAGATGCAGGGGCCACAGCTTTAGGAGCTGAAAGCAACCCCTACAGACAGCCAACAAAGTAAGAGGGACGACAGTCTTAACAACCGCAAGGAACTGAGTTCTGCCAATAACAAGAATGAGCTTTGGATTTTTCCCCAGAGCCTCCTGAAGAGACCTCAGCTCAGTTTTTCACCTTGATTCCAGCCTCATGAAACCCTGAGAATTCTGCCCTACAGAACTGTGAGCAAATAAATGAGTATTGTTTTAAGCTGCTAAGTGTGATTATTTGCTATGCAGCAGTCAGAAATAACACAAACATGTAATACTTTTTATATGTTTCAGACATCAAAATGTAGAGGTTGAACCATATGAAACTGCTGTTTCTTGTAGGTCAACATAGTTTAGCACCGGCAATTTCATATGGTTCAACCTAATGTTCCCCACCCACTCAGTCCCCTGCCAAACAGGTAACCAGGGTTATCAATTTCTTGAGGATTCTGGCAGAGATTTTTCATGCACTACGTAAGGAAATATGATCACATAATTCTTTTTTTACAGCAATGTTGGCACATACTAGACCTCACAGTTGTGGATCTGGCTTGATTTAGTAACAGGATGGCTGGAAGCTCTTCCCTTATCAGTACATGGAGAGTTTTCATTCCCTCTTATGGCTGTATAATGTAATGGGGTTTTAAAATACATAGACATTTCCACATTTCAATAAATTCTCTCACTGACCACTCCTTTAAATAAGTGGCCATTTCTAAGCTAGAGCTTGAAAATGTTTGTTTTACACAGATAATCTCATGGTTATGAGATTTTCAGTAGCTAGATTTTTACCTATATGTAGATTGTGATAAAATGGCCTGAGGTTCATATACCTTCCTAGAATTGTAAATAAGTATTTCAATTGTTTATTATAATTTTTATATAATTAAATAAATTTTAGTAATTATTTGATTATAATTAGATCAACTTATATATACCTAATTTTGTTCTTACCACGTCCCTTAAGGAGTTCTGGGCACAATGATTAAGTGCTTGGCTGCTAACCAAAAGGTTGATGGTTTGTACCCACCCACGGGCTCCAAGGGAGAAAGACCTGGTGATCTGCCCCCGTAAAGATTAACTCATGGCCATTGAGTCGATTCTGACTCATAGCAACCCTGTGTGACAGAGGAGAACTGCCCCATAGGGTTTCTAGGGCTGTAATCTTTATGGAAGCTGACTGTCACATCTTTCTCCCACAGAGAGGCTAGTGGGTTCGATCCACAGACCGTTTGGTTAGCAGCTGAGCGCTTAACCACTGTACCCGCAGGGCTCCTTTCATAAAGATTACAGCCTAGAAAACCATATGGGGCAGTTCTACTCTGTCACATGGGGTCTCTGAGTCAAAAACGACTTGACAGCACCCAACAACAACAACAATGTCCCTTAAGGAAGGAATCAAACCCAGGGTCATTTTACAGATGAACAGCTCAGCAGCCAGATGCACACAGGTAGAACAAATCACACCAATGGAGGTGACCGAACTTCACCAACTAGGCTTTTAAGGAATAATAGACATCATGCTCTGCTCAAAGCAGTGGAAGGTCAGAAGGAATTCCCACGGTACAGCCCAAGATCTCTTGGATTCTTATGCCTCTTTGTAGCCCCTGCAATTCAGAGTTACAAGGAAAATATCTTTTCTCCCTAAATTTTCTTTCCATTAAACTTTTAGCCCAGTGACCTCACACACTGCAAAAGTAAAACTCTGCTGAAAGTTACTGACCTGCATTGATTACTGCATCGAAATATCCTGGAAAGTTCTGGTTAATATTAATATAAAGATCCACTCTGGAGACAGCAAATTCAATCTCCACACGACTGAACAGTCCTTTTCTCCGCAAGTATCCCTCGTATTTCATCTTGTTCATGGGCACCACCAGGATATATCGAGGCTCGAAATAGGAACATTTCAAACTTCTTACACCCTTTGTGTTTAAGGGAAACATAATAAATAGGAAACAGAGTCATGATTTCGGGATCATTTCAGAGATCTCTGAAAACACAGGTATATGAAGTTGTATTACAGTGAAGTGTTTATCTGTATAACGAGTTACTCTTTTCCTATAAATGGAGCCCTGGTGGTGCAGTGGTTAAGAGCTTGGCTTAACCACAAAACGTCGGCAGTTGGCATCCACCAGCCACTCCTTGGAAACCTTATGGGGCAGTTCTACTCTGTCCTATAGGGTCGCTATGAGTTGGAATCAACCCGACGGCAACGGGGTTTTTTTTTTCCTATAAATATCTCAAGGTCGTATTACTTTACTCTGCTTATCAAATATTAAATAGTCCTGGAAAATATGAGAATTCATTCCACCCGGGTATCCTCTAATTAATCATTCTCATGATTATGGCTGTTAAACAAGAAAATTGCTGGAGACAAAATAGCTCCATCCACGGCAGTGCGGCATCTTTATCACCAAGAAGTAATTTAAACTCTACATTTCAAAGGGCATCCCTGCCACACTGGAAGATAGAAATCTTCCCAGGAGAAAGGGCTCCTCTGTCACCCCTTTGTCATCTCCTTGGGAGCCTTCCTGGTTGCCAGCCCAGCAGCGGGGTGGGGGTCTCCCATTACCTCTTACATCCTCTGTCCGCAGCAAGGGAAGGCCAAGCTCACCATGCCCGGAGACCACCGCGTGAAGCCGTGTCAGGCACCACGACTAGCTGCTACCAGATCGATTCTGACTCACGGCACCCCCATGTGTGTCAGAGCAGAATTGTGCTCCGTAGGGTTTTCCATGTCTGCTTTATTGGAAGTAGATTGCTTGGCCTTTCTTCCAAGGCGCCTCTGGTTTTGGTTAGCAACCACGCACATTAACAGTCTGTACCACCCAGGGACTCCCGCGTAAGGTGGTCTCTGGGAATCTGGAGAGTTTGGTCATAACTGCAGCTCTCTAGCTAACAACAGACTCTCCCCCTCAGGCTTTCTGGGTATCGGTTTTCTCGTAGGTTAAATGAAAGAGTTATTCCAACTGGCCTCCAAAGTCCCTTCCATCTCAAGTCTATCATCATTTGTTTAGCTCAGTGTTCCGAAACACTGTTTTAGAAGTTCAGTGGGAAGAAATGCAGGCTCTTTATAAAAACAGTTTCTGAAAGAGTCAAAGGCAAGAGTGGTTTGGAGAAATGCTTCAGCTAGGAGGATCTGGAGGATCAACTGTGGTTTACAGACTCATTGTTGGAAATGAGTAGGAGTAAGCTCTCAAGGAAGGAGCCCTGGTGGCACAGGGGTTAAGTACTCGGCTGCTAACCAAAAGGTCGGTGGTTCGAACACATCAGCTGCTTCGTGGAAGAAAGACATGGCAGTCTGCTTCCGTAAAGATTTCAGCCTAGAAAAGCCAGTGAGGCAGTTCTACTCTGTCCTATAGTACAGGGTCACCATGAGTCGGAATCAACTCAATGGCAACAGGTTTGGTTTGGGGTCTTAAGCCGTCAAGGAGAAAAAAGTAACAGGGAGCCAACACTCAGAACTTGAATTTGAAAAAGACAGACACAAGGTGTTGGAGAGTTTCTGTACTCAAGAGCACACTGAGTTTTGTTTCTGCCCTGTCCACAGAAGCAATTGTTGGGGAAAGGCCCTTTTTTGCTAATTAGCATAGAAATAAAGACTATCTCTCTAAAGATACAAAACCAACCGATCGCAGAAGGATAAGAAAGAATTGAAGGATTCTGAGGCCAGGGAAGTCAAAGAGCAGAAGGAACCATGACTGGTTCCGGCAAAGCTTGGGAATACTTGGGGAGCGGTGGTGGGTCAGGGGTAGACTTCTCGCCTTCCACGAGAGAGACCAGGTCCCACTCCTGGCCAAAGCACCTCATGCACAGCCACCACCTGTCTGTCAGTGGAGGCTCGTGTGCTGTTATGATGCTGAAGAGGCTTCAGTGGAGCATCCAGACTAAGACAGACTAGGAAGAAAGGCTTGGCAATCTACTTCTGAAAATCAGCCAGTGAAAACCCTATGGATCACAATGCTCCGATCCACAGCTGATGATGGGGATGGCGCAGGACCGGGCAGTCTTCTGTTCCATTGTGTATGGGGTCGCCGTGAGCCGGGGGCCGACTCCACGACAGCTAACAGCAGCAGCAGCAATAGGAGACACATCCAATACAAGCAGCCAAAGAGAAACGACAGCTCCTGTTACCAGGAGGGACCAGGCCCTGGAGAAGGACAGCGTGCTTGGTAAAGTAGAGGGTCAGTGAAAAAAAGAGGAAGACGCTCAACGAGATGGACTGACACAGTGGCTGCAACAATGGGCTCAAACACAGCAACGATTGTGAGGATGGCGCAGGACTGGGCAGTGTTTCGTTCTGTCGTACACAGGGTTGCTAGGAGTCGGAACTGACTTGACGGCACCTAACAACAACAACAAGAAGGTCTGTGTGGTTACAAAGGAAAAAGTAAGAACAACTGAGTCCACAGTAAAGGAACACCCGACTTGACTCAGTTTTGATTTCTCTCAATGTGGTCAAATGGAATCATTTTTATAACCGTTTTTCTTATTACAAACGTGTTGTGATGCTCAGTGAGGGTAACGGGAAAAAAAATCTATTATCTTTGAAAATTTCAAATACTTAACAAAGCTTTATGTTTTTCAAACAAGTGAGCTGGCTATTCATGGTTTTACTCTGGCTCTTCATTTTGGAGAAACTTCAGAAGACAGCTGAGGGACAAGTGGCTGTTGGTCAGGAAGAAAAAACCTGAAATTTTGCAAGTCTAACTGCTACCGGTGAGCAACAGGGTCAAACAAGGGCGTCTCCCAGGCATGTCCTGTGAAGAAGGAGGGAACAACGTCCAACGCATGGGGTCGCCGTTGTCCCCAGGAGGCAGGGGTCCAGTCCCACACCTTGTAGGAAGCAGGCTTCATCTAAATGATCTTATATAAGCAGAGAAACCCATTGCAGTCAAGTCGATCCCGACTCATGGCGACCCCACGTGTTACACAGTAAGAACCGCTCCATAGGGTTTTTTTGGCTGTAATTTTCACAGATGCAGATCGCCAGGCCTTTCTTCCGTGGTGCCACTGGGTGGGTTCGCACCACCAACCTTTAGGTTAGTAGCTGAGAGCAAACTGCACCACCCAGGGGCCTTACATAAGCAGGGAACATGGTCTAAAAAGACCAAGATAGTTTACTGAAGGAAAAACAGAAACTAAATCTTGGGTGGCCGTTTCACTTGTAGTACAGGTGACATTCCTGGCATTGCCATCGAATCCTGTCATTAATTTTCAGGTGTCTTGCCTCCCCCGTACTAATTATAAGCTCAGTAGCTCACACTTTGGTATTCATTCCTCTTGGGGCTGGCTCAGTGTCCTGCCTGCACACTGTAGGCTCCCCCACCCCAATTTCTCTCCAAGTACAAACTCACACACACATAAAAACAAATCAATTGGAGGAAAAACACTTACTTCTATTTCCATATGAATACAGCTCGCTAAACCACCTCTGGCGATGCCTTCCACAGTGTCCCTATTTAGCCCGTAATTGTGATTACCATAATTAAACGTTAGAATGAATTTCCCCTGAAATGGGAAAAATACAGAGATTTTCATATAACAGCTGCCATCACGGCGTTAAGATAAGCAAAATCGTTAGATGCCTTGTTTTTATGATTCCCCAAAAGTGACAAACATTAGCAAGTATATGAGAATGGCAATGGGGTTATAAAACTTAATATCAAACTGTGATGGAGAAATTTACTCAGAGTTCTTAGCTGACAAAAAAAAAAAAAAGGTTTTGGAAATAATGTGCTGATAAAACATGAGAAGAGAGCAGAGGTGCTGAAGTGTATGGGTTTATGGTAGAACAGACCATTCTGCCCGTTATCCTCACCCCTCGCCTCCTCCTGCCAAGCCTGAGCCACACACCTTCATTACTGGGAGAGCAAAACGAATAGCTTGCCCTTTGCCTCAGCCATTTTGGCTCTGCCAGAATACCAGGTAGCCCAGAAAAGGCGTCCGTTCCCCAAAGCCTTGCATGCTTGCCAAGATAAGCGGTGAATAATGGGTCATTCCTGAAGGCTATGAATTACAGGGACACTCTAAAAGCTTTGCACCCTGAGATAAGCCCTGAAAAACAGACCCATCCCGTGTTTCTGTATAGAGATCACTTTTTATTAAAACCGCCCCACGTGCTATTCAATGGAATTGTTGTCAGCCCTCTGGTCATTTCAACTATAAATGCTGCCTCGGCTCTGTATTCTGGAAGTCCAGTTCTTCTGAAAACGGTGCAAAATACGCAAGTGCAAACATAGCTCTAGAAATTGTGGGCACGTTTAGGACAATAGGATGTTATTACAAAACCACTAGGTCCAGCCTAAACTGGGAGGCCGATGGCAATAGAAGGAGCAGAAATGCGGATGGCTTTGGCAAGTCTGGCTCCTCACCTAACGTGATTTTGAAATAAACAACAACGTGAAGGTTCCCGGGGCTGCACTGGGTCCCCTCTGGTGGCAGTGGCACTATGGAGAATGGCAGCAATTAAGGCCCCCTGGGCCTTGGAACTGGCCCCAGACGCTCTGGAGACCGTGAGGATGGGAGGGGGTATAACTTGGCAGGGCCGAGGTGTGGGGGACAGACAGGAGACAGGTGTCACGTGGGGTGGGGTGGGTCTGAGGGGGACATGTCTGTTGTGGGTGATGAGGGAAACCCGTACCCCCCATGATCCAGGAACTTTATGTTGTCGTGTATTCTAAAACCTAAAAACCTCAACAATCAATACCCTTCATATTTTACTCCCTTGATGTCATACTGTCTTTGTTCTTTGGAACGAACACTGTGGCTCCCTTTATATATATATATACACACATATATGATAGACGGTAGGTAGCTCGGTAGGTAGGTAGCTTTCTGAATCTTCTGTTTACTGTGACTCACCCTGTTTTCAAAATGTATACCTAAATCACTTTTAAAATATTTGAGTTTGTTTACTTGTGTGTAGAAACACCTCCCTCTGAGGATCCCAAAAATATTATCTGGAAGGGCATGGGAGCGGGAGGAATCTTGGGTTGTACTTATGTATACAGAAGAGAATCGTTTAAACTGATCTGTTCAGAGTTGAGGTGAGGTGGTACCCCAGCTTCTGGCTGGTGATGCTCCCCTCATTTCTTCTTGCATGTAGATTTCTTAATAAATAGCAACAATCTTATTTCAAAACACTCCAGGTCTGTGATCTTGTTTCCACAAGAAGGGGAGAGCACTTCGGGTGAGGGTCTGTGGGTCTGCGGACATGTGAGGGATGTTTGATGGAGGAGGTGTGTATGGATGGGCAGGTGTGCAGGTCTGTAGGTGCCTGTCAGAGTGGGTGGGTGGGGCTGTCCACAGTAGGTGAGGGGTGGGGTATGTGGGGTATCTATCCAGGGGGTCCTACAAGTAGGGGGTGCTGTCTGGGTGGGTGTTCTATGTACTGAAGGCTGAGTGTGTGGGTGTGACAGGTGAAGCTGACAATGTGTCATGAGTTCATAATCTCAAACTCTGTCTCTCTTTATGAAGCAGCCTCAAGCTCACTGCAAAGAAAAGGAGATCGGGGGCAAAATACGAGTTGAGGAAAATAACATTATATTGAAATATTATATGTTAGCAGGAATAGTAGACATGAGTACTTCTCAAAGTACTTCTTGTAGAGGAGTAAAACTATAATAAAACTAAATACAGTCCAGAAGTACAGTGATTTCTTTGGCTAGGACCTGAACCAGATTTACTCGATTACAGATTCACTAAGGTAGGGAACATCAGAGGATCAGATGACAGATGTACTGAGAACAGATGAACTGAACTGAGAAGAATATGCTGCAGACTCTAACCAGGGAAATTAACATGAATTTTGGCAACTAGTTCTCTTTCGACCTAAAGAGTCCTAAGAGATTGCTTCTTACTAATACCAAGATAACGCCTCAAAGTGCTGTCAAAGCTTTTAGAAATATGAAGTCCCAGAGTACTCTTAAGAAATTCAACTCCTGCCAAAATATAGCCCTGGGAGAGAAAATTATAAAGAATTTCCAAGATGTTCTTTTGACAAGGTTAGGGGGAGAACTGCCTAGGGATTCCAGAGCTTTCTCCCTCATCCTGAAAACACGCACCATGTGTAGATGTAGAGTTGGTCTTGTAGAAAGCGTGGAGCCGCTGCCTAACGTTCTCCTGTGATGTCCACTGAGGCACAGGCTGTGTGCATGATTGTGGGGGGAGGGGGCAGGAAAGGGGGGAAGGAGTGGGGGAGGAAGGAGAGGGTAGATGTAGCTATTCCAGCATCACTGGTTGGATGGGGATCTTTCAAAAAGTAGAAGCATAGATTAGTCCTTAATCTGGTGTATCAGTAGGTTTCAGAGGGAAAGAAGTGGCATAGAACTCATTTGGTGCTATTTCGAAAGGATGATAATAAACAGAAATAAGGCCCATGGTGAAGAGAAAACAAAAAGCTTACAGACTCATGGAGCCCTGGTGGTAAAGTGGTTAAGAGCCTGGCTGCTAACCAAAAGGTTGGCAGTTCGAATCCACCGGCTGCTCCTCGGAAACCCCGTGGGGCAGTTCTACTCTGTCCTATAGGGTCGCTATGAGTTGGAATTGATGATGGCATGGGATACTCTTTCAGCTTAACTGAAGTCACGTGTGTTATGTGTGTTGACATTAACATATACTTTCAACATATAAAATGTTCTACATTCTATTTTTGTGAGTAGCATGTGGGGTCTTAAAAGCCTGTGATTGCCCATCTAAGATACTCCATTGGTCTCGCCCCTTTGGGAGCGAGGGAGAATGAAGAAAACAAGATACAAGGGAAAAATTAATCCAAAGGACTAATGGACCACAACTACCACGGCCTCCACCAGACTGAGTCCAGTACGACTAGATGGTGCCTGGCTACCACCACTGACTGCTCTGACCGGGATCACAATAGAGAGTCCCAGACAGAGCTGGAGAAAAATGTAGAACAAAATTCTAACCCACAAAAAAAGACCAGACTTACTGGCCTGACAGAGACTGGAGAAACCCCAAGAGTATGGCCCCCAGATACCCTTTTAGCTCAGTAATGAAGTCACTCCCGAGGTTCACCCTTCAGCCAAAGATCAGGCAGCCCCATAAAACAAAACAAGACTAATGGGGCACACCAGCCCAGGGACAAGGACTAGAAGGCAGGAGGGGACAGGAAAGCTGGTAACAGGGAACCCAAGGGGTTGTGGAGAAGGAGGAGTGTTGACATGTCGTAGGGTTGTTAACCAATGTCATAAAACAGTATGTGTACTAACTGTTTTATGAGAAGCTACTTTGTTCTGTAAACCTTCATTTAAAGAACAATTTTTTTAAAAAGCAAACACATATACTTGCAAGAAATAAAACAGTGCAAGGGCTTGTAGGATTACTTGGCATGTGAAGGCCGAGAGGGAACAAATAAATAGTTTTTAAGAAAATGAACTCAGAGACAAGGCTGTTGTACATCATCACCAATGACTTGGTCATCAGGGTTTCCGTAAAAAAACTTAAATTCAGCAAGACTTCCCTGAGTTCCCATGAAATGGACCAATGCAGGGTAGTTACCATCATCTAGTAAAGACACTCTTTACTCTCTGTTGTATTGTGGTAGCCTGTGTGTTGCTGTGATGCTGGAAGCTATGCCATCAGTATTTCAAATGCCAGCAGGGTTGCCCAAGGTGGATAGGTTTCAGCAGAGCTTCCAGACTAAGACAGACTAGGAAGAAAGGCCTGACAATCTACTTCCGAAAGTCAGCCAATGGAAACCTTGGAAATAACAATCACGTTTGTAAAGTGGAGGGTAAGGGGAAAAGAGGGAAACCCTCAAGGAGACAGACTGACACAATAGTCTGAACTATGGGGTCAAACATACCAACATACCAATGATCATGAAGATGGCACAGGACCAGGCAATGTTTCATTCTGTCACATGTGGGGTCGCCATGAGGCCTAGCCGACTCAACAGCAACTAACAACAACAGTAAAGATACAGCCCTCAGAGAAATTAGGGATCATCTCCGATCTAATAGCAAGGGCTTCCATCTGCATTAGTGGACTGTCCGGCCGCCGAGACTCAGGACCTCTCAGATAGAACAGGACGTGTTTGACGGTGGAAGGGCACGGCCATATACGTGTCCGGGACAAGCATACAATGGGAAGCGCCATGCCTACACCTGTGCTTAGGGTCACTACATTCAGAAAACACCACAGATACCAAGCAGAAGGACTACGCTCTGGCCAGACAACCCAAACCCTACGACGGCTCAATTCCAGTTTTGTGCATGAAGTCAGGTCTGGAGGACTGTTTGTCCTGAGTGAAGCTGGATTAATAACAGCAGCAGCTGATCAACACAGACCACAAGAATTCTTTTAGTTCTGGTTCCTTAAAACGTCTACTTTATTTTATTGGAAGTTTACAATATTGTCTCCAAGATGAAAAACCTAGAAGCATGTGAACAATGACGCGTGAGGTGGCTTAGGAACACAACCCAGTAAGAACACACCTCTCATAACCAACACAGCATTTCACGTTTCTCTTTTGTATTTATCTCTATTTTCTGATGTTTCTGCCAAAGAACATGAATTTCTTATGCACTACAAACAAAAGCAGCCATTCTTACCATGTTTAGCATTTCATCATAAACTTCCTGAGAGATAAAATGATAATCCACTCGATCCCCTTCTCCAAAGTAAGGAGGTCTTGTCGTGTGACATGCCCTGAAAACATAAAATACACCACTGCATCTATTTCTATTAGATTGACATTTGAAATGGAAAAGATTTCAGTACAAAATATGTTTTTTATGTACATCCAGTTGCTATGCTCTACAGGGATAATATAAATCTTGGATTATCAACAACACATTTTTACTCATTATTATCTACTGCACTTCTGAACCACCTTTTCCGCCATAAGATACTATTTAAAAGTATAACAACAGTCATTGCTCATATATTTTCCATCCAAGTGCGTTCTTGTTCTCTCTGCTCTATGACATTCTCCACATGCTCTCTTCCTCACCAGCAACCCCCTCCTTCCTCCTCCTCCACCTGGCCAGCCCACCTATGTTTCAGCACTCAGTCTAAGTGTCCCCTCCAAAAAAGCTTTCCTGATCCCCTATGTCTGGATCATGTACTTTGTCTCACACTACTACAGCCTCAGTGCATGCCGCCAATGACATCCCGGTAATGGCAACCCCATCTTCTCCACTGCTTGACAGCAGAGCTGTCCCACTCTGTGTTGCTAATCAACCATGAGTCAACTCTGACTCATGGTGATCCCATGGCTGTTAGATAGGATGGAACTGTGCTCCACAGGGTTTTCCACGGCTGATTTTTTTGGAAGTAGATTGCCAGGTCTTTCTCTCAAGGTGCCTCTGGGTGGACTCCAACCTCAACCTTTCGGTCAGCAGCTGAGCACATTAACTGTTTGCGCCACTCAGGGATTCCTATGTACTGCTAGTGAGGGCTTATCAGTACCGCATATGTATGAACCTCCTACTAGACTCCAGGATTCAATGCTGAACAGGATTCTAATTCAACTGAAGAGGCCTTTTCTGACCACTATTAAAGTAGCATCCCACCCACTACCCCGCTATTCCTCTCTGTCATTGGAACCATCTTTTTTAAAATGTTTCTTCTTATGTCCTCCAGTAGAACATATAAATCACAAGGGAGGACTTTGTCTTGTTCATCTTGTCCACCACAGCATTCCTGGTGCCTGGCACACAGTAGGCATTCAATAAATATTTGTACAATGAATGAAACATCTGAAGTAGACAAACAGCTGCTATGACTCTGTTTTATAGATGGCTATAAAAAGCCACGTGCCCAAGGCCACCCAGCAGGCCAGCACTGGTCCCAGAACTAGAATTCGGGGGTCCCAACTAGCCTGGGATGCTTAACTTCACATATACTGTTCTACCTTCTCCCTGTTGTATCCTGGGAATGCAATTTAATTTTTAGATTATCCTGTAGTTTTAAAACAGGGGAAGAGGACAGCTGGACACTTGACATGTGATTTCACGTATTCCTCACAAAAACTCTGACATAAGTGTTATTATTATTTTACAGATGAGGAAACTGAGGCACAGCGGTTAAGTAATGCTAGTAAGTAACAATGTCGGTGTGACAGCAAAGTTAATTCTTTTTAATATCATACTCGTTAAGAGAGTAAATTTGCAACCTCACAAACCTCTCCATTGTGAAGTCAGAGACAAATAATTTTTTATGATTCATACCATTGTTCTTCCCTTATAATCAAGAATTCATTAGACTAGTACATTTTAAGGTCTTAACATTATATTTAAGGAGCCCTGGTGGCACTATGGTTAAGTGCCCTGCTGCAGACCAAAAGGTTGGTGGCTTGAAGCCACGCGAGGTTTTGCAGGAGAAAGAGCTGACCACCTGCTCCCATAAAGACTGTTGTTGTTTGCCATCAAGCCAGTTCCGACTCAGAGCGACCCCCTGTGACAGGGTAAAACCACCCCATGGGATGTTCTGGGCTGTAATCTTCATGACAGTAGCTCGCTACGTCTTTCTCCCTCGGAGCAGCTAGTGGTTTGAACCACCAACCTTTCAGTTAGCAGCTCTCGCTTAACCATTGTGCATCCAGGTTCCTTCCGTAAAGAAAGATTACAACCAAGAAAACCCCGTGGGGCAGTTCCACTCTGTCCAGCGGGGAAGCTATGAGTCAAAACTGCCTTGACAGCACCACCACCACCATCAACACAACATGTCGGTTGTATACTCAGGGAAGAGGAGGTTCCAATAGAAGACTGTCACAACACGGTGCCATTTCCTGTGTGGTTGGAGGGCACTCGCATTTCTTCAGGTGCCTGAGCAGAGACCTGGGACCCTCTGTCTCCTGGTGTCCCTGACAGTCAGCAGCATCACCTTTTCACACTGCGCTGAATTTACATTTCCCAACAAAGGATTGAGCAGCAGTATTTTTTCAGAACTGCTGAAGGAAAGACAAAGCAAAGAAGCAGTCAGAAGCTGGCAGGCAGGTAAATACAGAGGTGGCTGCACGGGTGTGGGGATGTTGATGACAGAGCCTGCTTCACACCGGGAAGCCTTCTAAGAAGAAGGACCCAAGGTGACCCGCGGTGTTGTGGATCTGTTGTCCCATTTTCACGTATGGAGCCGGTCACTGTGTAGTATGCTGCCCAAATGGGAACATCTTAAAAAGGAAACACTTCATAGTGAAAGTAACACTTCACTAAATGTGCTTAGAAGAAGATGATGCCAAATTTCAGAAAAAGAAAGGGGCTTGGGCCATCGTTTTCAATATCCGTCTCTCCCGTCTCTCCTAAATGTAGTATCGATTGTAATTTACATTTCCGGGAGTTTATGATTGACTACCTAGTTAATGAATGCTAAGTTGGTCAAGTCATGGTTTTCAGTGGGAGCCATACTCCCTGTTGCTTCACTTAACAGACAAAAGATCTGAGTTAGAGATGAGACTTAAGCTGTAACAACTGGTCCTCAAAGTCTACAGGGGAACTAGACCTTCTAAAGGCCTCAGTGGCCCAATGCAAGGCTCCAATGCTCTGGCCACTGGCTGTCAAGGATACCAGCAAACCCAGTCCATGGAGGGGGGATGAGGAGGAAAAGGAATCCGCAAAGCCAGGCCAAGTAATGGAATATTCAAAAAATCCAGGCAAATGGAACAGGAAGAAAAGACGTCTAGGAAGAACTAGCAGATGGATGAGGAAGTAGAATTTCTCAGTGTGATTCAGAAGCATGCAGCTTTAGAATCTCAATTCTGGACCAGATTGCATCCGGAAATAATGAACTTCTTGTCACTGCAAATATTTAAGCAGAGGCTTGGCTGCGAGCGCATTGAGTTCAAGCATATTCCAGCATGCCATACCGTTAGTGAATGAACTACACTGGGGACCCACAAACACCCTAGGAATTCCTAGGGCACTTGGTAGGTAAGTTAAATTGGTCCTAAGGTCCAATGCAAATATATGTCAATAAATTGCTGGGCACAATTTAAGGGGTCATGAAAACAGGAGATTCCAGCACATTCTATGGCTGAATGTCAAACTCCAGGAAGCCACTATTTGTTCCCTTTCCGGTAACCACAGAACAAGTTCCTAGTTCATGCCATCGTCACCCATTGCCCTGTTCCAGCTGGCTTCCTTGTCTCCAGCCTTCACTTCCCCAAGCCCTTTCCCAAACGGCAGCCAGGATGGGAGCTTTCTAAAAGGTACTTCTGAGCATGCCGCTCCCCTGCTGGGAAACCCTTTAAGATCAGACCCCTGTCTATCTTCCCGGCCTCACCTCTGCTACCTCCCTTCATACTTTAAGCTGAGCCGTCCTGCGACGTGTACCTTCAGTCAATCGGATGCACCTGTTGCTCTCTACCTGGAATGCACCACCTTCAGCTCCACGCCTCTGCTGCTCTTGACTTCCTCCATCACATAGATCTTTACTTCCCCGATCACAACACTCACCAAACTATCTCATTAGGTTGCATTTACCTGCCTAACCGTGTTAGACGGTGAGCTGCCGGGAGGACAAGAGCCATATCTGTCTGTCTCACAGTCTCCTCACCTGGCACACGGAAGGCACTCAGTCAGTACTGACTGAATGAAGAGATGAACCATCCTACTAGCTGGTTACCTCTGCAGAAACTGACACATTAGATGAGTCTGCATTTGGTATCTGTAGCTCATACCATCCCATCTAGCTAAACAGCTGTGGTCTTTTACATGACTATATTATACTACTAAAAATTAAATATAGTAATAATAATAATAAATAAAACTTTCAAAACACACACACACATTTCATAGTCAACATCACGAGAAGGCTATGAAAATAGATATTGCTGGGTGGTGCAAATGGCTAACACATTTGGCTGCTAACTGAAAGGTCGGAGGTTCCAGTCCACCCAGAAGCACCTTGGAAGAAAAGTCTGGAGATCTATTTATGAAAAATCAGCCACTGAAAACCCTATGGAGCACAGTTGTACTCTGACACTTATGGGTTTGCCATGAATCGAAATCAACTCCACACAAACTGGTGGGGTATGGTGGATCCAGGTGAGAATGTGGGGGCAAACTGGATCAGAATCATGACGATGAATCAACAAACACCTCCAAGAACTCATACTACCAAACGTGCCTCAACAGCAACATATAACATAAGAGGACTGGGCTACCAACCATTCCCAACACAGCTGGCACACAGTGATGTGAAAGAAATTCTAACTAGAAGGCCTTGGTACCTAAAGTCACTTTGGTTTGCAGAACGGTTCCAGATTTATTCATCAGCACAACAGGATATTTCCGGAATGCTCTGATCCTTTTGTCCTAGTTTGATCTTCAACTCATTGTGTTAAATTTATCTTCTGAAACATGCTTGGTAGCCCCATATGAGCATAATGGCACTTTCTTCTTTTTTATTCTAATATTGTTTTAACTTATTTATATTACTTCAGGGTGTTTAAAATATTTTAATCAATGAATAATTATACAGCATTTGCATCCTAGAGTCATCCACATGAGGAATATAATTTTAGAGCTCTAAATAAATGAACCTGTTTCAAATAGTGTTTATATTATTTAAACATGTACAGCTTAAGGGAAGAGACTTTTTTGTAACTGCATAAGAAAATAATTTGCATTTTGTTTTCTTGCTATGCTATATATCTTTGCAGTCATATCTTCAGCTCACCAATACATGCTACTAATCTCAAAGCAATTTCTCTGCTTTACATAAAGAATAAAAGAGGAAGCCAGTGTAAAAGACCACAGTGACAATTCTAGATCTGATTCTCAGGACCTGTGAAGAGTCTACAAAGGCAGATGGAGGTTATTTTGGATGGTTCTGGTTTTTCTGATACTGTCCCCTATTTTAACTGGGTTATTAGGGAATCAGGTGCCTGGGGAGTGCCAACGGTCTGCACTCAGCTGCTAGCCTAAAGGTTGGTGGTTTGAAGTTACCCAGCGGCACTGCAAAAGCAAGCCCTGGTGATCTGCTTCAGTAAAGGTGGTTGTGGTTATTGTTAGGAGCCGTTGAGTTGATTCCAACTCACAGTGACACCATGTGACAGAGTGGAACTGCCCCATAGGGTTTTCTTGGCTGTAATCTTTATGGAAGTAGATCGTGAGAGGTCTTTCTCCCTTGGAGTCGCTGGGTGGGTTTGAACCACCGACCTTTCAGTTAGCAGCCAAGTGCTTAACCATTGTACCACCACGGCTCCTTCAGTAAAGATTACAGCCAAGAAAACCCTATGGAGCAGTTCCACTCTGTCACACATGGGGTTGTCATGAGTCAGAATCGACTCTATGGCAGGCTTCGGCTTTTATTAGGGAACCACAGCAAAATATTTGCTCCAGAAAACCCAAAACGCATTGGGTGCTCACCTGGGGGAGAGAAAGAGAAACATCTTGCTGCCCCTCCGTTTTCCTTCCTCCTGAAATACACCACTAAAAGAGAAGATCTGCCTGCAGATAAGGAAGCCGATGTGCTGTCAGCGAGAGTTCCAGGCAGGAACTGGGTGGGGCTGTCACCGGGGCACAGACCTGCCTGTCACATGTCACAACACTGTGATGCACCCGTCACACTGCGTGGCAACACCATTATGCTGAATTAAAACGCTGAGCATTTTCAAACCCTGGAGAGCGACTGGGGGGCGCTTAGTGAAGTTAAACATTTGGAGGATTAAAGTCAAAGGACGCAACGTAATAAATGGCAAAGGAGCAGATAAACCCGCTGTGGAAAAGGTGTGGGATGGCACGGAGGAGCCACGGGGGGCGAGGGGTCTCTGCTGGGTGCTTATAGTCTGGTTCACAAAAGACAACATAACTTGTCTCTTCTTGCTCTTTTTTAAGTTCTTCTATTATTGGGAGGGCACGTTAGCAGTCATCGTTACTACCTCCATTCGAATGGCACAAGAATCAAGATGCCAGATCCCTCCAAAACCATGTAAGCCCATTGATTCGATGTTCTCCATGACTTACCTTCAAGGACTAAAACTCTCCTGGCGCTCTGTCCTTACCAAGAGTTAGTGTTCATTGGAACATTCAATTTACTTACCACCTGTCGCTCTGCTGTAAAATGTAACTTAACTGTTGTTTTGTACATTTTTGAACTTGCTTAAACTTAATACCCCACATCAGCAGTATCTGAGACTATACAGGGTTATAAGCCAATAAACAACTTACCCGTATCTGAAGTAAGTACTAAACTGTCTGCAGAGGCGATGGGCAAGTTCTCGTTTCCCACAAGCTTGAGGACCGGCCAGTATCAGCATGGGATAGGGAGCATCCAGGCTCGGCAGGGTGCTACAACACAGGGCCAGAGGCAAGCAGTGCGTTACAGCAGTCAGACACACAGGGCGCAGAGTTCCTACGGCACGTCATAATTCACTCAGTTAAAGCATCACGTGTAATACGGAGACGCTGTACAGAAGGACAGTCCTGCCTTCTAAAAACAACTTGATTGTAATGTCAAAAATAAAATTCTTAGCATCCCACTGCCGTCGAGTCAATTCCGACTCATAGTGACCCTACAGAACAGAGTATAACTGCCCCAGAGGATTTCCAAGGCTGTGACCTTTATGGGAGCAGACTGCCACATCTTTCTCTCGAGGAGCAGATGGTGGGTTCGAACTGCAGACCTTCCAGTTAGTGGCCGAGCGTTTAACCACTGTGCCACCAGGACTCCTCATTCATAGCACAGATAAGGTAGAATTCAAGTATAGACAAATTTACTTCAACAAGATTTTAAAAAAGGAAAAATATGGTACGATATATGTTCTTGATAGCTAAAGTATTCCCCCAAAAACTTGAAAAATGAAAGAAATTAAGACTGCCTTTATCATCCACACTTATTGGATTAAAACACAGATATGCAAACTTAACAGCAATATCTAAAATTTAGCTGATCAATCACTATGTGCCAGGCATTGTTCTAGGAGTCTTATATTATCTCATTTAATTACCACAAGAAGCTTCCGAAGATGTTTCTATTATTATCCCCATTTAGCACATGACGAAATTGAAGTGCATAATGATAATTAACTTACTGAAAAGCATAGCTAGTAGCAAGAGCTGATTTATGCACCAGGCATGGCATTCAGGCCTGAAAGACTGGACTCAAGAATGAACAGATTAGTGAAAGTTCCTGCAACAGGCTGGACTGACTGAAGAGTCTGGACCCCACTCATGATAAAAATGATAGCAATATAGAATAAAATGTAATGTTTTCTAAAAACACATGCTGAGAGTAGATTCTGGGATGATGGGGGCAGTGGCAGAATAGTTTTCAAACTCTCTGAATACCCACATAAAAACAAAGGGAAGGGAAGCACCACACCACCCCTCCACAGCAAAGCTCAGAAAAACTAAGTCAAATGGAGTCACACATCAATCCCGAAACCCTAAGCATCAAATGAAGAGATAAAGAACTCAGCCAAGCACTGAATGGAATAAGAAACTGACCGAGAATAGAGCACGAGGAGAGATACATACAGAGGTCCTCTATAAGCTACCACAGTATGGATCCGCCATCTTGGACTCCTATCGGAGATCAGTGAACAGGGGGTATGAGAAAGCAGCTTCACGGAGCTTCCAGCAGGAGACAGAACTGGTAACCAGTGATATATGCTTTCCCACCCCCCACCCTTCTTCACCCCCACTTAGCCTCCTCTGCTTCCTGCAGCCACAGTCTCTTGGCCAGGAAGCAACAGCGTCACCCTGGTGTTGCCTGGATTCCACCTACCCGCACTGGCCGGCTCCCTGAGTGCCTTTTGTTGGCTGCTGGTGTTGCTTTTTTCCACTTCTTTAGATTTCTTCCTTACCTCTCACCCCATCGCCCTCCTTTCTCAAACACCTGGCTCCGTGCGCCATCTTTGCTTCTTCCTGAAAGGCTGTGAAACACCGATTGAATGTGAAACTGCTTCCCAGCCCGGGCCGCCATGATGGTAGGACCCCCGGGGCTTTTTTGTTTGTTTGTTTGCTCTGATTTGTTCTGTTTTGATTTGTTTGTTTGTTTTCTTTTTTTCCCCTCAGCTTGGGAGCCCCTTCTAGCTGGGCAGTACCGTGTGGCTTGGAAGCTACTCCCTTACTCTGCGTAGACGCATGGGGACATCCCTGGGGGCATTTCTTTTTTCTTGTTTCTTTGTTTTGGTTTCTTCTCTCTCTTATTTCTTTTTTGTCTTTCTTCTTTTCCAGTTTCTCAATTTAATCGTTTTTTCTTTTACCCTTTTTTTTCATTTTTGTTTTTCCTCATTTCTCAGTCTCTCATCTCTCCACTCCAATAGCAAGCTCCCTTAGCATTCTTTTTCATTTGCGTGTATGTTTTTGGCTCCTGTTCCTCTCTCCTCTCTCTCCTCTTTCGCATACCCATCTTAACCCCACACATCACAATCTACCCCCTCCTTCCTGCCTACCTGCACCACGCACTGAACACCACACTGCCAAGGAGCACAGCATACTGGAACCTGCCCTGCACTGATTCCTGGTCCACACTGTCAGCCCTGGTACGTGCCACAAATGACCCATCCCAGAAACTCCCCTTCAGCTGGACCTGCCCTGCTGTACCATACCTGAGTGACTGACCCTTCTCATTGGAGAAGGAGGTGAAAAGTATCGTGCCCAAAGATGAGCAAACAACAAAGAACGCACAGCCCGCCTGCTCAGACATAACCATAAACAAAAAATCAGGATGAAACAAACAAATCTACAATCAATAAATGAGGAAAATAACGACAGAATGCCCC